AATAAGTAGTGTGTGTGTGTGTGTGTGTGTGTGTGTGTGTGTGTGTGTGTGTGTGTGTGTGTGTGTGTGTGTGTGTGTGTGCATGTGTGCATGTTTCTTCTTTATTCTCCTTTTCTTATAAAATGATGCTCAAGATATTTTTTTATTGTTCTCTTTTTATGGATTTTATCTCATTATGAATTGTAATGTTCAATTTTTTATTTTATTTATTTCATTTATTCAAAATGTTTTTCATTTTTCTATTCGAAGTATTGTTTCTTTTTTCTGCACGATTGTTGTATCTCGTACGAGAATATATTTTTAATAATCATATATTTCAAAGTTTCCATTCGATGATTATAACACTTATGATTAATATCCAACCATCTAGTGTGACTTTTATTAGTAACATACACACATTCAGCTACAATATTTTGAAGAAGGGATTTTGAAGATTGGATGCCCAATAATGTTGCCACATACGTGTAAATGTCATTAATTGTGTTTTTGTAATATTTGTAAACGCAGCAGTCTTTGTCACTGTTGGAGCATCTTCATCTTTATTTGAGTATTCTCGAAATTCTATATATTTTTTACACGCTGTCGCACCATTCATGGGAGTTTTTATCATATTATTGTGGCAATCCTCACAATTAGTTTTTACAAAACTTCATCGTGCCACAAATCCAGTGAAATATGCAATAGCATTTTTATCATAACCACACAATGGATTTATATTTTCTATATCTTTAAAATCTACATATTCCCCCACAAGTTCTACATCTTCCAAAAATAAGTCGCTGTCAAAATTATTATATTCTACAATGGAAGTACTTGTATTGTTCATGACTTTTTCTACTTCTTTAATGAGACGACTTAGTTGTGTGATAAGAGCCTCACTTCCTGGACATTGAACATTGCCTTTATCACTTGTTTGGATATATCCTGTTGAGAATATATGTCTAATGGATAATCGTACCATTCTTGCCATTGGATTTGGATTAAATCCTCCGCGTTGTCTAAGTCTAGAAAATAAGTGCTCCACCGAATCTTAGTTACACAATCCTGTTGCAAGTTCAAATCGATTTTCAAGTCTCTCAAGTCTCTAGGTTGCAAGAATCGCTCATACAGTTAAAACAAAGCCTCTAAAACAAGGAATTTGTGTTATTTTATTTGGTGATTTTGACCATCTTGAGCACCAATCAGTAAAATCTGTTAACAGAATATTTAAATCAGGATTCTTGGAAGATCGTTTTTCGCCAAATCTAACTTTAATACTATAACTATTACAAGCGTCGGTAATATTATTCAAATGTTCTGCAAAATCGGCAGTTGCTTCCCATATTTCAGTATTTAATTCTTTTTCGTGGCCAGCTATTTTTATCGCAGCTGCGAAAGTATGGCTAAATAACTGGAAAGCTCTTTTAACATTCATCGCTTCGAAATTATTCGGACGGAATATGCGCTTCTGTTAATGTGAGATAACAGATTTGAGCCTCCTTTTGTAGCAGTGTCAATAGACCACGTCATTTCGAAATCTGAATATGATGCAACTATTTTTCCATCACAGTAAAGCTTTGTATGTGTCCTCAAGAAACTTGCCAATCTTTTTATCAAATGTGGAAAATCAAATGAAACATTATATATTTTCCCATTGTGTGTAAAATATAGTTTCTCTGTATTAATGCCCAGTTGAGCATAAACACTCTGATTACTTGTGCCTTGATCGCATGTTAGAAGTTGCACATCAGCTCCTGTTTCATTTAATCTATCTAGGCATTCTTTCACTAATTATATCCTCCGCTTTCATGCACTTTCCCGGTAAGAAATATGCTAGAGATTAACGCCATGGATGATGCGCATTTAAACTGTCTAAACAGAACACGAAGACACATTTAGATTTATCTAATGATCTTCCTAAATGTCCAAAATCAACAAGACCTTCAATTAAATATAATTTAGATGAATATTCCTCATAAGTTTTTATATAGACATTTTATATAGACATTTCGTTCCATTTCAAAGCACACACTTTTTCCTCTAACGGAATATGAGAAATTTTTTTCTTTTAATTGTTCAAATATAAAATCGCAAAATCCTGGTTGTATATTAATTAATTAATTAATTAATTAAAATTCTTCTAGTCACCTCCTAATGGTTTGTTGTCCAGGAAAATTACATTCCGCTTTTCTTAAGCGACAGAATGCAGAAGGTGAAATAGAAATATAATTGTCTTGAAAGATTTTTTCCTCTTCTGTGTATGGTGCACGTCTTGTATGTAGTTGCAAATTTATCATTGCTTTTGCAACAGGATGCAGATTTTGTTCATGTATCAATTTTTTTAGCATCTTTTTCTTTGACTGTGATCTTTTTGACAGTCTACATTTTCTAGCGATATTTTAAACATTTTATTTGATTTCGCAATCGATTTATCTCAAATTTCAAAGATTCAATAATGTCAGAGTTTTTAACTTCCTTTGTCGTTTTCTTTTTATTTTCTTCTCTTTCGTTATTTGCATTATTATGCACAATAACTGTCGAAACTTTGTCATACATAGGTAGCTTAAGATTCATCCATTCCATAATATCTTCTTCTTCATCTGAATTATGAAAACGTAAATTTGAAGGCTTATACGTTTTTATTGAAGGCTCTTGTAATAAGCTCTTGCTTTTCTATTATTATGTTTTTGGAAATAGGCGTAAATGACATTAAATTTCTCTCAGATTGCCTCATATTCTCTGTTAGGCAAGGCTCTGTGTCATTTGAAATTTTCTTTTTCTAGAAGATTCTTTGGAATTATTTTGAGAGACACTTAAATGATATGGAATTGACACTGCATCTCTTTTTAATCTTTTCTTTATATTTTTGAGATTAAATGAATCTAGAGTAAAATGATCTTCGCACAATCCAGCACGTCGAATGGAATTGGACTATTTTTCTAAATTAGTATTCCCTATAATAATAATGAAATAAAAATATATGACGATTATATATTTCTTGAAGCAGTATAAAATAATAATAAAATAAATAGAGAAATTAAACCATGCAAACAAATTATGTTAAATTTCATACGCAATAAAATATATATTTTTTTCGTGTAATCAAAAATTTTTGTAGGTAAAAATAATAAAAGTTATAATGAAGATGATAAGAAAACGAAAAATAAAACGAATTTTCTTAATAATTTGAAGAAGTGTCTAAGATACATTTATAAAATTGTCATAAAGCAATAATTGAAGTACAACGGATGAATTAATATATATTTATTTAATTAATTAAAAGGATAATCAAACATGTTGCATTTATAATTTGATTACATTTTTTATTTCTGTTCACCGAGTATTGATATTTTTTTGGGGACCGAAAGACAATGCTCGGACACAAATTTTTGGCGGCTACAATAATAATTGTAGACGTATAGATACTTTCTAGCTACAGTAAATGTGACAAGTTGGACTATTTCTTTGCGCGAACATATGCTTATCTCTCTTCGCGCAGATCAAGATATATAGAGATTTTCATTTATTTTGAAGAGA